ATCCATGTGTGAGCTGGAACGTGCATGTACTGTTCATCTCTTTATGCACTTCTAAGGTGAAGTAGGGGTTGCAGCTATAATTAGTAATTAAATCAATATGCGACATTGCCCACATACTCTACATGGTGGGTGTGTTTTTTTTTTTTTTTTTTTTTAACCTTAATGCTTAAGTAATAAAAGGTTTGTGAATAAGGAACTGCCTCAGTTGCACAGGAATGTGTTCGCTCATCCTATTAAATGTGGTTTTTGTTGATGTTCTTGAATTGATTTCTGTTACACTCTGGTGCTGCAGCTGTTCCTAAGAAAGGATATGCTGTTTCTCATGTAGTAGCTTGCATAATGTTGACAAGGGGGAAATTCATCAGATTCCACCTTAAAGAAAATGTTGCTCATGTGGGTTTATTACATACAATCTTTAATACTATTCTGTGAAGTGATATGGTTATAAAGAGTGTAAGATTTATTTTATTTCACTTGAAACATGAACAGAATACTTTGTCTCCTTTAAAAGATAGATTTTGTTCCCCCTTCTGAAGGCACACTTCTAATATGCCTTTTGTATAAATGGCTGTGATGAGTTTGGTTGCTTAAGGCTACATCAGATGTGCTTGGTCAACCTGACTGTTTGCTAACCAATTGGAGTGGTACCCCATGAGCCAGAGCACAGTCCTACAATGTGTGACAAGGATTTGACTTGACAGTTTTACAGTTGTGCAATGCATGGAGGCTTAGAGCTACGAAAGGGGGCATGAGGGACTCTGTGACAGAGACCTGTGCAGTTCCTGTTGTCTCTGCAAGGAAAAATGTGTAATTGTCTTGTCAAAGAAAGCTGAAAAGCTAATTTTCTCCTATATTTCTCTCTTGCATTAGTTGAGACTGGCTAGATGTGGAGCCAACTGTATTTTTACTTTATTATGACACTGTCAAACCAGTTGTGGTTTTGTGACACAAACCTATTAATATATTACTATTGGAAGCCATGTGGTCTCTCTTTGCTAGGTTATTTTGCCTTTCAAAATGAAGACGCTTGCATTTTGGACTGTTAACTGCTTCCTTATGCTCTGCTGTAGGTTGGGGTGGGACATTGTCATTTCATCACCTGTTTAACACTTTTAATGTAATTTGATAGCATTCTGTGTATAGTTACCGATTTCTTCATCAGTGAACTTAGATACTGTGAAATGATATCAACACTGAGACAAATTATATCATACAAATATTTGAGAACTTGCCACTTTATATATCTTATCTGCTGCAATCTACAAACAATAGGTTGTTGTTTAGTAGGGATACTGAGTGTTCTCTTTTGTTCAATCTTGAAGATTGCTCTGTGCGTTTTTTTTTTCTGCGTAACCCATTCTCTATAAGTAATATGAGATGGAAAGTCAGAAATGACTAATAATTGAGCTGGAAGTGTTAATTAACTCAGACAGCTGAACAAGAAGGAGGTGTCTGAATGATTTTGAGGGTAATTCAATTAATTTGTTAATTAGCAGAAAAGAGGTTTTGGCCTTTCTGGCTTATAAGCAAAGATATAGTTGTTGCTTTTATTTTTATAGTGGTGTAGTGTTTGGAACTCAGATAATCTACTGAATTTCTTATTGCATGTTCTCTGCTTTGGTCCAGCATTATTTTCTTCTAAAAAAAATGTCAGGAATTACTACCTAGGGGCTTTCAGTTATAGCTTGTGGCTTGCTTGTCTGTTTGTCATGTAATAACAAAAGCTCAACTCAAATTTTCTGTTATTCTCAGGGTTATCCAAGCACTTAGGTATTTCTTTAATAGTGGATGGGGGTTTCTCCTTTCTGCCAGTGTAAAGAAAATTAAATTTTGCTTTTCATGAGTCTGTATTCCCTTAAAGTGAATTTACCTGGCCTTTTGTGGCTCACCAGATGCTAACGACTCATTCTCTTGTAGGAGCAGTGACATGTAGTCTCACACTTCACCTCTCTTCCTGTCCCTCTTGCAACGTACGTTTATCAGGCTAGTCTGTTCATGTGTGACAGCATCACTGGTGTTTTCCAGAACTGTAATACGAGTGGTTAAACCGTATCTGCCAAAGGTGAGGAGACCAGTAGTGGATGAACTGCTTCCTGGCAGCAGCTTCTCTGGCTGCTGTGTATCGCTGTGGCATTCAAAGGCACCCATGCCTCACCTGTGGCTCTTGAAGTCCCTTCTCTTATGAACAGGAGGAGCAAACACCATTGGCTGGTGCCAGGTGTCTCTTGTCTTCTGCACTGTTAGCAAGAGCAGCACCTGAAAGATGGAAAGAACCAGGTGGAGAATCAAGAGATGCAGCTAAGCATCTGAAAGGGACAGTGGACAATAGTAGGATGAATGAGAGAGACTGGAAGAGAAGGCAGAAGAAAATCCAGATAATAGGTAAGGGGAAGAAATTAGCTGAATTGAGAGGAAGTGTCTATGAGGAATGTGTACCTATATCTAAACAATGGCATTCTTAGAGAGTGCTAGTGTTTTCGTCAGCAGTTTTAAATTACATTCAGCAGTTGTAAATGACAGTGAAGCCACCTCAGTGTGTTTTTCAGTGTTGACAGGGGTAGAAATCCCTTTTGTAGAAGGAGCAGCCTTATCTATTCAAGCAACTTTTTAGTACTATGTTCTGCTGTTAAAAAGTTTTTAAAATACAGACTTTGTAATTGCTAGTGGGTGAGTTGTAATAAAGTTCTCTTGTGTTTGATTTACCTGTATCAGTAGAACACTGAATCGTGGATTTAAGGGAGTGAGCTGGAGATAAAGGAAAAAAATCTTTGGAGACTAGGATTCAAAAGAATTTTATTTATTAGTGTTCTAAAAAGACCCCATAGTGGAGACTAGGAATCATAAATACTCCTTGAAAAGCTTTGTAGATTTTAGGGTTGGGTGATGAGTTCCTGGGAGCTGAGTGAGGCAGATCAAGAGATCCCTGTGTTCTCAAAGTTTGTGGTGTCTCGTGCTTGTGAAAGTTTGCATTGAAGGAGCTGAGGGGTCTGTTTCTGTCTATAGTTGTATAGTCCTGGAAGACACAGTGTATTCCAGGAGGTCTTGTTCATCTTAGTTTGATGCCACTGTGACAACGAAAATTTGAATCTAAGAACTTTCAAGGAGCTGTTGCCACTATAGTTCGTCTTCAGTGCTTTAGTTTTTGTCTTGTCACCTCCTTAAAGTGTCTCTTTAGTCTGTGGGCTCTTGTTTTTAACTAGCTTGTGGCATCTCCTGTTCACAGTTGAAATGCTTTTGGAAATAACCAGCTGGCAGGCACACTAACTGTCCAGTTGTTGAGAGAGACTCTGAACAATGCTTTGGCTTCTTCAGAGATAGATTTATATGTGAAGTCTCAAAAAAACCCAAAAAAACCCCAAAAAAAACCCAAACAAACAAAAAACCAAACACAAACCACAACTCCTCTTTCTTGTTATCTTTTGGGTTGTTTACTTTCTATTTGACTAGCCACTTACTGCTTAATCTGTGACCTTGAAACCAGTAGCTAGGAGGAGATAACTGAGCCTGCCACATCAAGGCAGCATGTCTCTATTGTACGTGGGCTGCAAACTTGACCACCTTTGAGTCTAGGGAGATCTATAGGCTAAACCCATCCATTTCTGCCTATAAGCACAGGTTGGGTTCATGTGTTGTTTTACATGCTGTGGGTTAATAAGCACCATCCTAATTAAATGCCTGGAGCATTTCTCCTTTCTGGCTTGCATCTAGAGGGCTCTAGCTGAGCAGAAGAGGGTGGGTGTCCTGCCGTCTTAGTTACATATTTAGTATAAATATGTGATAAACTGTGCATCATGTCTCTCAGACTACCTACAATAATATTCTTGCTTATTTCTCAAGAGGATGTCATTTCCTGTGGATTTGTTGGACCACTGCAGTCATGAGGACTTGGAGATTTCAGGACAGAACTACTTGTCTAACCTTCGATCTCGGAGTCCAGATGTTCCTGAATTCTTCTTTATGCCAGACCACAGCAAAGTAAGAACCAGCAAATACCTTAGTCACAAGTTTCTTGATGCGCTTGTAGATTTAAAAGTTTTACAGTATGCAGTCCATAACTGTTGAACATAACATAATTATATTATCAAAGCTTTTGTATTTGCTAGATTACTCTTTGTGCATTAACTACTTTCTCCATTCTGTAATTTGGTTTCAGTATGGTCATCAGTGACTATTTACTGCTTCTAGGTGATGGATCTGTATGCGTTAAGTAATTTTTGGTTTTTTAAGCCTTAAAATTTCAACTGAATCAAACTTTTTCCTGGGGATCACTAACTTACACAGTCACAATAATCTATCTTTGTAACTAAAGAGTTTAGGATTTACTGAAGCTGGGTCTTACTGTACCTCACTCCTTCAGTGTTCTTTATGGTTGGGTTCAATTCTTGATCAGCGAGTTTTGCAAATTTTGGAAGCGATTTCTTTTATCTGAAATATTCACAGAATGGTAGGGGTTGGAAGTGACCTGGAGATCATATAGTCCAACTGCCCTGCTAAAGCAGATTAACCTAGAACAGGTTGCACAGGAACACGTCCGGGTGGGTTTTGACAGCCTCCACAGGAGGAGACTCCACAACCTCCCTGGGCAGCCTGTTCCAGTGCTCTGTCAAGAGTAAAGAAATTTTTCCTCCTGTACAGATGGAACCTCCTGTGTTCTAGTTTGTGCCCACTGCCCCTTTTCCTTTTGTGGGGCACCCCTGAAAAGAATCTGGCCTCATCCTCTTGACAGGAGCCCTTTAGATATTTATAAATATTGATAAAATCCCCTCTGTCTTCTCTTCTGCAGGTAAAACAGCCCCAGGTCTCTCAGCCTTTCATCTAAAGAGATGCTCCAGTCCACTAGTCATTATTGTAGCCCTCCACTGGACTTTCACAGTAGTTTCTGTCTCTCTTGAACTTGGGAGGCCAGAACTGGACACAGTGCTCCAGATGTGGCCTCACCAGGGCAGAGTAGAGGGGGAGGAGACCCTCCTGACCTGCTTATAACATTCTTCTTAATGCACCCCAGGACACCATTGGCCTTCTTGGCTACAAAAGCACACTGCTGGCTCATGGTGAACTTGGTTGTCTACCAGGACTCCTAGGTCCTTCTCCTCGGAGCCACTTTCCAGTGGGTCAACCCCTAAACTGTACTGGTATGTGGGATTATTCGTTCCCAGGTGCAGGACCCTGAACTTGCCCTTGTTGAACTTCATTAAGTTTGTCCCCACCTCAACTCTCCAGCTGGACCAGATCTTGCTGATGGCAGCGCAGCCTTCTGGCGTGTCAGCCACTCCTCCCAGTTCTGCATCAGCAGACTTGCTGAGGGTGTGCTCTGTGCATTCATCCAGGTCATTGATGGATACGTTGAACAAGACTGGTCCCAGTACTGACCCCTGGGGAACACCACTAGCTACAGGCCTCCAGCTGGACTCTGTACCACTGATCACAACCCTCTGAGCTCCATTGTTCAGCCAGTTCTCAATCCACCTCGCTGTCCACTCATCTAATCCACACTTCCTGAGCTTCCCTGTGAGGATGTTATGGGAGATGGTGTTGAAAGCCTTGCTTTTATTGCAGTAGGCAACATCCACTGCTTTCCCCTCACCTACCCAGCCAGTCACGCTATCACAGAAGGCTGTCAGGTTGGTCAAGCATGAAGTCCCCTTGGCAAAGCCTGTCTGGTCTGTAATTTTCTGGGTCCTCCTTCTTGCCCTTTTTGAAGACTGGAGTGACATTGGCTTTCTTCCAGTCCTCAGGCACCTCTCTTGTTCTCCATGACCTTTCAGAAATGATGGAGAGTGTTATAGCAACAACATCAGCCAGTTCCTTAAGCACTTGTGGGTGCATCCCATCAGAGCACATGTGGGTGTCCAGCTTGCCTAAATGACCTCTAACCCAATCCTTCTCAACCAAAGAAGAGTCTTCCTTTCTCCTGACTCTCTTAGCTCCAGAGTATGAGATTCCTGAGGACTGGCCTTAAAAGTAAAGACAGAAGGAAATAAGGCATTTGGCAACTCTGCCTTTGTGGTGTCCTCTGTCACCAGGGCTCCCTCCCCTCTTTTAGTGGCAGGCACACATTTTCCCTTGTCTTCCTTTTCCTACCAATGTACTTGAAGCCATTCTTGTCTTTTACATCATTTGCCAGTTTTAATACCAAGAGGGCCTTAGCCTTCCTTGTTGCATCCCTACATATTCTGTTGGCATTCCTATGTTCCTTTTGAGTGGCAGCCTCTTTTTCCACATACTGTAAACTTCCTTCTTCCATTTGAGTTTTTCCAGAAGCTCCTTGCTCATCTGTGAAGGTCTTCTCCCTTCTTTGCTTGATTTCTTACTCAAAGGTGTATACTCATCTTGACCTTGGGGGAAGTGCTGCTTGAATATTAACCAGCTTTCTTGGGCTCCACTACCTTCTAGAGGCATGGATTCCTCCAAGTACGTCTTTGAAGAGGTTGGTTATCACCAGTGCTCTGCAGGAGCCTTCTGGGCTATGTTTTCCTTCCAGCAAACATGCCCTGCTGTTGTTGGGAGTTCTAGCAGAGATTGGCTGTGACACTTTGTTTTAAACACCCTTTGCATGACCTCTTGTTGATCAGTGTTAGTTTTGTCTAGATGAATGTGTCTCTTAGAAGTACTACAGATAAAAGCAAAGATGTGTATGGTTTTAATGAAAACTAAGTGAGCTGTGGAGGATTCTCTGTGGGAGCAAAAGTTCAGTGCTGCAGATTCCTTGTCAGAATCAGTCTTGTGAGTACTTGCCTGCATTTCTACAGGTGCTGTATGCGTAATTATTTATTTGTATTAACGTCCTTATTTGTGGCATAGTGTATCCTAATCTTCTTAGAACAGGTAAGCAAGTCTATTTACCACACCATTAATGTCTGTGTAGTTTTTATACATGAATTAAATATTGAAAACCTGTGAATTTCAGTATCAAAATGCATTTCCACAAAGTCACTCAAATCCTGAGAAGTGGATTGATTTGACCCTTCTTATACTGTTCTTGAGGGGAAATCAAGCAGATAACTTTGGAACTTCTAAAATGTGTGCAAATTAAGGGAAGAAAAGCCTTTTGAATCCAGCCTTCCCACTGCAGCACATTAGGGCTCCTGTTAACAAACAGTAGTTCTGCTATGCCAGTTTATTTCTGTGCTCGACTGCCTGCCTTATTCTGCTGTTGGCTTTGACAGCTTGCATAGGTGGGACAGACGAAGCGAACATGCTGCTGGCTCTTTGGGCAGCTTACTTCACTTGGGCACATTAATGCAAACTGCTGACAGCACAAAGCTGAAACAGTGTAAATTACTGTAGCTAAATCTGCCAGAGCCTGAAAGTCGCAGCTCTTCATAATGCAGTTTGTCTTTAGGAGGAAATATTTGAAGTAAGGCCTGGGTTCTGATGTTTGTCCTTACAGTTAACTGTTAAATACTTGGTTTTCAATATTTGTCTTCCTCACTCTGCTAAACATTCTCTGTGTATTTTACTAATGTGGCTTTAGCGAGAGTCTGCTGAAGTATTGTATGTTCTTGTTTCAGATTCCTATTAGTTTGACAACTGTGGGCTTCGTGCCTCTTTATGGTGAAGATCTGACACACAAAGTTCTTGCTTTGTTTGCACCACAGGACCTGTTCACAGGTTTCATTTTAAGTTTTTAATCTCTGTGTTGCTGTTTCTTTTCTATGACAAACATGTAACCCAGCCTGTGCTCATTCCACGCTAGTGTAGCTCATCACTTTGCCACTTTTGCGTTTGTTGTTCACTGTGTTCTTGTTCCCATACTATTATTTTTGTTGTGGGGTCAATATACAGGTGATAGATAGAATTTTGCATGCTAATCAGAGTAGAACTGGACTCACTGAATTTGAAAGATACATAGCAAAATAACATGGTGCTTGTCTGAATCAAAGTATAAATGTGTATCTCTTAACCTCACCTCTCCAAAAGGAGTTTACTGAGCATTCATAGAATCCATTAATTTCACCATGAATTTAGATGCTCTTTATTAGCAGTGATTGATGAGCATCAAGTATAAATTTCTTTAGCTTTAGATCCTAACATAGCTCCGGCTAAGATGACATCTTACTGGTCTTTGGGTTGTTTTTCCTCCATTTCTCCCTTTCCTTTCAGTCTTCATGTTTACTTCTCATTCTGTTTAATGCCATGTATATTGCTGAGTTTGCCGCAAATGCCCATAGATCAAACTCATCCTGATTGGCAATCACATGACCATCAGCCTTTTGACATTCATCTGACTCGCTAAAACTAGTGCAGTTTAATCAGTATCCATTAGCAGCCCAAACCCAAAGTACCTGTTTGAATGAGACTCTTGGTAGGCCCAGTTTTTAGTGGAAGGATGTGCTAGAGCACAGTGGTGAAGGGTAATTCTTCCTTCTGAAAAAACAGTTCCTGTGTGTCACACTGCACAAAATCTGTGATTTTATTGTTCTCAGCTTGCACACAAGTTTTGGACTAGGGAGCATTTCATATGGTGGGGTGTGGAGCACCACGTTTGTTGTGCTAAAGCAGTGAGAGCTGCGTTAATATAGTGCCAACCAGAAGATGCTTAGCTGGGTTATGACAATGTTATTCCTAATTGTTTAGCAGCTTTAATGAATGTTTCTTTTGGAACGGTAAGAATAACTAACGTTATTTCCCCTTGTTTCTTTCAAGCTGTAGCCCTGTATCTTGCTGACCGGTGGTGGTCAATTGATGACATTGTGAGAACATCTATCCATGCTAGACAGGGGCTTCATCAGGTAAAGCGCTCCAACATTCACCTAGCAATTGTTCTTATCCTTCCAAGATAATGGCCAGTAATGCCAAATAGCTAGTGTGTGAGATGTTAACACGTTTTTGTTTCCTTCAGAAATGAGTTGGCTATCTCGAGTCAAAATAAGGGTCAATAGGAATAGAGAAATAGGTACTAGGGGGAAGGCAACTTGATTGTGAAGATACTGTCTAGAGCAAGAGTGATCGTCATATGTAAGCTATTCAGAGGTTAATGATGTTAAGAGTTTTTTTCTTTAGAACATCATATGTCTGGTTGTGCTGAAATGTCTTAGAGTGGTGCATTGTATCATAGCAGTACCTATTGGTCTTATCAGGAGACTAGTAAGCTAAAGATAGTGTTTGGAACCTGTTTGGTAGAGGTGAGGTGGAGCTTGCGGCTTGCAGTGGCAATATATGAGGTATGGGAAAGTAAGTTGCCTGGTACCTGTTTTATTGCTCATCCTTCACCTTTGTTACCATTACTGACACCTATGTTCTTTCCCCAGACTGGAAATTTGTATTTTTCCAGAAGTGTAATTTATATCTGCTCATAGAATTTGGGCACTCATCTTTGGTTGTGTTGGTTTTTGTTTTTTTTTTTTAATTTACTCTAAAGAATTTGGCACCTAGTTTTGCTTTCATATACTTCTTACTGGTAGGATGGTGTTTAAATTGGGGAAGCTAAATCTTTTACTGGCATGGTAGGTGAGATTCTGGGCATTGGGAAGATCATCGTCCTTCATTCTTCCTTAGGTAGGGTAGTGGTGAACTTAAATTTCATATGTAAAAGGAATCCTGCAGGATAGAGGAAAGGGTATTGAGTTCTTAGTTTCATGCCACAGGAACTGTTTAACTGGTTCTTCCACTGCATCATGTCCTGTTGTCTGCCACTCTATCAACAGTGATTGAGTGTGCCAAGTCCTGCTACCCTGTAAGGCTCATCATTTCTTCTTTGTAGAACTCCAGTTTTCCTGCTACCCTGGGAATTCTAAGGCTGGTGTACTGCTGTTGTGTTTGGTGAATATTTCTTAAACACAAAAATAGTTTTGAGTTAAAATAAAACATTTGCCCCATTACCCCACTCCAAGTACTTCTGTCAACTTTTAACCATGGGTTTGGGAGTGACACTGAAGTCATGAAATCTCCTCTCTCTGTGGTAGTGCTTTATACTTACCCTATTGCTATGCCTTCTGAGCACTTCCTTGCCCTCAAACAAACCCCAGAGCATCATCCTGCTTTAGCACTTACAGCTTCTCTTCACTCCACCTGCAGCTGCGCTAACTGGCAACTTTGAAAAATAGGGTCCCTGATGTGTGAGTATTAACTCCTCTGGCCACCCTGTAAAACGTTCTTTGTTTCCTTAGGTGAAGTCTCTTGGAGAGAGGGTGGTTCTCTATGTGCTGAATCGAATCATCTATCGGACACAGGAAATGGGAAGAAATGACACCCCGTTTCTTTGTCACGGGAGCAATGCCTATGCCAAGATCCTGTGGCAAGGAGGAGAGGCTATTGCGTTCTATTCTGTTAAACCTAGAGGTAAACCCTTTGAGTATTATTGGCTTTGTGGGGATTGGGGGTGAGAGATAGGAACCTTTTTGAAGAATATTGTATTTGGTAGACTCTACAACCCTTGCAGGCCTGATGAGTCGGTGTTTTCCTGAAATTGTAAGAGGTCAAACTGCTGTTAAAATTTCTAGCTTAAGTACTTCCATGCTTTAGTAATCTAAGGAAGTTCTTGTATTTTATACAATATGAAGAAATCTACTTAAAAACTGTAGGAACGAGATAAACCTGAAAGATTTCTTTAGTTTTCTTTTTCTGTATAACAGCTGTGTACAGTTGGATTGGGCTATGCTTGTGTTGTTGGTGTTTGGTGGGGGTTTTTTGGGGTTGTGGTTTTTTTTTTTTTTTTTGACCTGGCTTCAGGTGCAGATAGATATCTTGTTATCTGAAATGATTGTAGATTTAGATGTCATTAATGTTTAAATGTTCTATAGCATGGCAGCATGGAAACTTTGGTCACAGGCATAAGATCCAGCTACACCTGGTGATAACAAAAATACGCTACCCTTCCTTTCACACATGCATTCCCATAGGTAACAACTGAGCTGGCAGCTTTAGCTTATTAATGTTACAGACTGTGTTTGTGTGTGTGTGGTCCTCTTTGGCCTCATCAGAGGAAAGGCGTAGTTCATTCTGACTCACAAAGTGAGGGCTGGAAAATGAATTGGGTAGTGGATGAGCTATCTTAATGCCATCCCTTTGTCACCTCTGAGTCCATACCTACCTACCCTTTGAATCCTCTGATACTGAAGTACCTATATATTGTGACAGTCTGTTTTGTCTTTTGTCTAATTATGGATAATGTGTTGTTTATGGGAGTGTTCCAGTGTCAAGTGTCCTAGGATTGTTTTGTGGTTTCATTAAAAAAAAAAAAAAAATTGTTTCAGTCTGAACTGAATTACAGTCTTTATAATTGTCCTGAGGAACGATGTAATGTACATAAAAGTGCAATTCAAGGATTTTATGGTCTCCTTTTCTCTCCTCCCTCTTTCAGCTTAATTTTTAGTGTAGTTTTCCTATGGAATTGTATAGTGAGATTTCAAAGTGAACCCTTCCTCTGTATCTCTGCTATTTTTTTCTGGTACTACAGACTTTTTCCAACATATTAATTTATTGATATATCTTGGCAACATTATGAAGCTTGCCCAAACAGCCAATGGATGGGTGATGACAATTATTTTTAATGAACACTATAAATTATTTTTATAATTTCAGATAAAATTTTATGTCTCTGACATTGTGTCATTTGCTATAATTTTTATAAACTATGAAATTTTTATTTGAATAAGCTAAAATCCATGCTGCAGCATGTCAGTGCTGAAGTACTGATGTGTATTTTTTCCCCTCTTACTATTTCAGGAAGTGTTTGTAGATCTTATCTTGGTCAGAATTATAAGTTGTCAGTTCTAGACACAATGTTTGTAAGGAAGCAGCATCATGGAAGAGGCTGTGGGCTACTCATGTTGGAAGACTTTGTGGATTCCTTTACTGAAAGGCCTCTTGGCCTACGATACCCGATGTCAGCCCTCATGTACACAGGCAAGCTCTTTAATTTACTGCTCTGATCTTTGTGCTTTCTTTACATGTCCAAATGAATACTGTTATTCAAGCCCCATGTTTGTGGCTACATCCTCGGTTTCTGTGTTGAGTGTTCTGCTTTTAGGAAGGCTAAAAAAAAAAATGATTCAAGATGAATTAGCTACTGATTATTTTTGGTTTTATTCCTCTACATGAGATGAGATTATTTGATCTCCATTGGCTTTCTGCTGCTGAGAAGTTCACTGCTGTGCCCCTCCGCCAAGACTAGAATCAGCTGAGGTGTTTGTGTGAGGTGTCTGTGTGTGCTCTAATTTATATCTTCTTTGTAGCACCTTTTTGTTGCTCACACCTAAGCCTTACAAGGTCGTTTAATTCACGCTTTCTCAGAACTTCTGGTCAGATGGACATACTAGGCTGTGTTTTAAGTTGGATATAAGAAGGCATAGCTCTAACATACAAGGAAGACACTTAAAGCTCTTCCATTAGCAGCCTAATGTCATTCAGGAAAAAAATATACACATTATGGAAATGATGCTGCTTGGGACTGTATTCAGGCAAGAAGCATATTTCTGGTGCCCTGTTTCTCAATGCTTGTCCTACTCTTAGGCCATCTACCAGGCATCCTTCCATAAACACTTTTCATCTGGCCTTATCTGCTGGAAATGTTCTGCTTTTCCAAGTACCACTGCCTCTTGTTAGATCTAATGAGATGTGGTTTGTTAGGCTTCAACCAGCAAACTGTCTAGAGCACTATTTAATGATGAATCCATTTTTCTGGGCAAGGAATAATAATGTGCTTGGATTTGCGAGCTCTGCTCTGCTCCCTTGTCCCTGAGGGCAGTTTCCCAGGGGGCCCTGCTGACTAACTCGTTGAACAGCTGGAATTTTCCTTTTTTAACATCCAGGGTCCTAACTTTACCCTTCACCTGACCCATGTCCCTCAGGACTGTGAACTCCACCAAGTGTGATCATTGCAGCCCAGTCTGCCTCCAATCTTGATGTCGCCAATTAGCTCACCTATGTTGGTGACCATCAGGTCCAGTACCTCATCCCCTCTGGTAGGCCTGTTACCTGGCTTAAGACATTATCCTCACTGCATTCCAGGAGTCTCCTGGACTGCCCACAGGTCACCGTGCTATTTTTCTAGCAGATGTTGGGGTGGTTGAAAGTCCTTCAGCAGG